CTACCTGCTCTACCAACAGGTTTAAGAAAGGTGTTCCTGCCCGGCCAGCATGGCTCCATGGTTGAGCATCAACCTATGAACCAGAATGTCATGGTTCGATTCACATACCCGGGTTGCGGGCTTGATCCCCAGTAGGGGGCATGCAGGAGGCAGCCCATCCATGATTCTCTCTCATCACTGATGTTTCTATTTCTCTCCCTCTCCCTTCCTCTCTGAAATCAATAAAGATATTAAATATGTGTGTGGCCCTGGCTGGTTTGGCTCAGTGGATAGAGCATCGGCCTGTGGACTGAAGGGTCCTGGGTTCGATTCCAGTCAAGGGCACATGCCTGGGTTGCGGGCTTGATTCCCGGTGGGGGGCATGCAGGAGGCAGCCAATCAATGATTCTCTCTCATCATTGATATTTCTATCTCTCTCCCTCTCCCTTCCTCTCTGAAATCAATAAAAATATATTTTTAAAAAGCCTTAACCGGTTTGGCTCAGTGGATAGAGCGTCGGCCTGCGGACTGAAAGTTCCCAGGTTCGATTCTGGTCAAGGGCATGTACCTTGGTTGTGGGCACATCCCCAGTAGGAGGTGTGCAGGAGGCAGCTAATCAATGTTTCTCTCTCATCGATGTTTCTAACTATCCCTCTCCCTTCCTCTCTGTAAAAAAATCAATAAAATATATTAAAAAGAATGTGTGTGTGTGTGTATCTGATCTATGAATTCAGTACTACTGTTTCAATGCAAGGAACTCCTCTCTGAAACAGAAAGGATGCAAAAAGGAACAGGTCTCCTTGAGAATTATGGAAGTCTTTCAGCTGCCTCCTGCACACTCCCCCCACAGGGGATGTGCCCACAACCAAGGTACAATGCCCTTGACTGGAATCGAACCTGGGACCCTTGAGTCCGCAGGCCGACGCTCTATCCACTGAGCCAAACTGGTCAGGGCAAGAATTATGAAACTCTTATCAACAGAAGTAGCCAAACAGGGAACTTTAAAATGAACATACCTTCCAATATTTGATGCTAAGATTGAAAACAAAGAAAACTTTCTTTAAATTAGGGTGACAGTTAGGGGGTAGGTGAGCAGGGAATAAAATATGGGTATAATACCACCCAACTCTGAGTCTTTAAGACACAATAGCCCTCTACTTCCACCCTCACCCAAATTACTTTCCTGCAATGCCTGTGCCTGAGTCAGAGTCTTCCTGGTCTCCCTGGAGGGCCACTGTACATAGCACAGCACTAGACTTCCGCAATGGCAACCCTGGGAGGCTCCAAGAGAGACTGCAAATCACTGGCACAACGGGCCAAAGCCAACCCACAGATAGGTTTTGTTTGGCTCCTAGCATACCAATCGCCAACTGTTAAAAATCTAGAGATTGCACATAACTCTGGCTGGGTTTTTTTTTTTTTTAAAGGAAACTAGACTTAGCCTGTAGTTTTACATGCTATCAACTTGCTGGGACCGGGTGGTAGTAACCCTTGGATGAAGTGGGCACTTTCTTGGTTAGCTTGGCTTATTTGAGTTTTCAACCCTGGTCTAGTCCAATTCTCTTACTGTAGAGAAGTGACAGCTAAGGACCAAAAAGGAGAAAGGCCTTGCCTAAGGTCGCACAGATTAGAAATGGTGCTGACTGGCACAGGAGTCCCCCCAGGTCTCCTGCTCCCCATTTTCTCAGAGAGCAGGTTGGATTTCGCTTCTCACTTGCTCCCACGGCCAGAAGTCCCTGTGCAGTGAACAACCTGCACACCTCTATGCTATGGCCCCATAGCCTGGCTGTGATTAAGCTGGTGTGGGCCACTGCACTGGGAAGTAGGGTTTACTCTGAATCCTAGCAGATCAGGCTAGCCCAAAGAAGGTCAGGTCCAAACACTCTCCCCTCACCAGCCTCACAAGTAGTTGCCCTCTGCTCACCCAGACCCTTGGCTTTCTTCTTCTCTTGTGGCCTTCGGTGGTCTCGGTCTCCCATCTCATCACTTGCCCGGATCTCGTCTGTGCCTGGCTCTCCCTTGGAGGTCTTCTCACCATTGACTACTGGGATCTCTGGCTCAGGCTCCCCATTCCTCGAGGCATAGGTCCGGGACTTCTCTGCATCGTCAGGTTCAGCAGGCTCACCCTGGGCCCCATCCTCACCTGGGCCCCCCTGATTGTTGTCCACACAGTATGTACTCAGGATGTCTTCCAACTGGCGGCTCAGCTCCTCCGAGACATCGCGGAGGGCCCCAGGCCGAGAGGCTTTGGCTTGTGCTCCTACAGGAGGAGGAAGGACAGAATGTGAAACGAGAAGGTGATACCACTGGTTGGGATTTATTCAGGCCCAAACTTACTGGTTTGGATTAAATGTGGCCTAACTTCTTTAAGCCTCAGTTTATTTACCTATAAAATGACAGGAGTATTTCTTTTCTGAGTATAAAAGAAATCAGGTAAAGCCTTCCGCACACAGGGATGGCATGTAGCAGGAGCTCAATGTCTAATCCACCCCCTTCTTCTCCTAGTGAGCATCATTTCTTGATAGTAAAGAAGTTCCAGAAATGACTCCACTAGAAAGAGCAGTTACCCACTGGCACAGGAGGCGTTTCAAGGAATATTTTATTCCTTGCTGGACTTGCAAGCTGGTGTCTCGTTTGTCTGCTCCCGATTTCATCCCGTCAGAGCCTTCTCCCAAGAGCTCTTTCTGCTCCTGTGCTTAGCGCCCAAGGCTCTACCAACCCCCCGGGACTGGACGCGGTGGGGAGCGCACAGACCCGCACTGTCCCCGCCCATTCTAACTTCCTTCTTTCTGGGTCCACAGGGGCCTCTACCTCCAGAAGCTAGACCGGAAGCTCCTCCCCCTGCCCGCAGGGAAAGCAGAGCTGCCACACACCCTCCGTCTTCCCGGGAGTCTGGCGGGCGGAACCTTCGGCTTGTGCCGCGGAGGCCGCCCGGCTGGGCAGCCCCTGGGCTCCGGCTGGTCCGGCTTCCACTTGCCCCGGGTTGCTTTTTGGGTTGGAAGTGTGGCCTGAGTGCTTGGCAGCCCCGTTCTTTTTGTCTTGGTTCTTCATTGTGGGTTGCAGTGCGAGGCGAGGAGCCGATCCTATAGAAACAAGCACACTCGCTATTTCCCAAGTCTTCGGAATTCTTATCAGCCTGGATCGGAATTCCCGATACCGGATGCACCAAGCTTCTAAACACAAGCTGGTCGGCCTGCCCCGGCGGTAACCCTCGGTTCCCTCCGTCTCCGGCGGGTCAGGGGAGCCTGGTGTGCACAGGCGGGTTGTCGGGGCGCTGCTCCGGGCGCAGGGGAAGAAAGGCCTCCTTTTCCCTGAGGCCTCTTCCCGACACAACGCGGCCCCTCAGGCTCCGCCGAGCGCGGGATAGGTTCCTGGCCGGTGACTGACGTGGCGGGACGTTCGATTCCTGGCCTCTCCCCCGCCTCCCGGGCCCCACATGGGCCTCCCTCCCACCCCCCGCGCGCACAGCCACCCACGCCCCGCGAGCCGCCCGCTCTCCAGCCACCCGCGCACGCGCAGAGGCCTCAGCCCTGCCCTCCGGCCCGAGCCCTCGCGCGGAATCTGCGTGACGCTTCCCACTGACCGAAAGCGCTCAGGTCTACGGACCCTCTGATCGCCTCCTCCCTCCAGCCGCCACGGGACGGACCCCACAGCCGACGTCCTCACGGCTTCGCCCGCGGTGGCCGCGCACCGGAAACCCGGGTAACCGCTGCCGGCAGAGCCGCCCGCTCCCCGCAGCCAATCAGTAGCCGGCTCTCGCGCGGGGCTTGCTGGGAACGATGAAGAGACGCGGCCTCTGAGGCGGGCAAGCTGGGAAGGCGGGGGAGGGAAAAGACTACCCGTCCCTCCATGCACCGGGGAGGACCCTCCACTCCCAGGATGCAATAGGAAGGGTTTTAGCTCTAGGTGCCAGAAGCTCAGGAGGTCCGAGAGGAGCCGGTCATTCTGCACAAAGACCCACGTCGAGTTTGTTTCTCTCGCTCAGAAGCTGTGATTCAGCCCCCAAAGCCTTGCGCCTGAATCTTCTTTCTTGCACGCTCCCACCAACACTTCCCCCATGCTGTGAACATGTATGACCGTCTGGGAGACTTGTATTGCAGTCCCAACTCCATCATGAATTTGCTACCTGACTGGGCATTCTTTTCTCTCCTCAGGACTCAATTTCCGTACTCAGGTGGAAGCTTTCAGTAACAATAGTAGTTCTCTGAGTGCTTACGATGTGCATATATATATATATATATACACACACACACACACACACACACACACACATATATATAATGTAAATATATATTTGATTTCAGAGTGGAAGGGAGAGGGAGAGAGAGAGAAATATCAATGATGAGAGAGGATCATTGACTGGCTGCCTCCTGCAAGCCCCCTACTGGGGATCAAGCCCACAACCCAGGCATGTGCCCTTGACCAGAATCGAACCTGGGACCCTTCAGTCCGCAGGCCAACGCTCTATAGATGTTTCTGTCTTATCACTCTCCCTTCCTCTCTCTCTTAAAATCAATAGGATGTTGGCAACATATTAAAACTGAAACACACTATCAGTTAACCAAAATCCTCTTTTTGGGTTAATCAATTTTTTGGCTGCTTGTCTATAATCTTTGCTTTAGGAATTGATCTAAACCAAAGCGAGTAATCAGTGAGCTGTATGGCCTTAATGGGCTCACTAAGTTATAGTGACAGAATGCAGTGGTTGCTGGAGGTTGGATGAGAAGGATTCCTAAGGGGCTCACAGAAACTTCTAGAGATGATGGATATGTTCACTATCTTCATTGATGTGATGCTTTCATGGTTACATATCTGTCAAAACCTATCAAATTGTACATTTTAAATATGTGCCATTTATTTAATGCCAATTATATTTCAATAAAGCTGATTTTTAAAAACATCTTTATAGCAGGAGTAGGCTGTTACCAATTCTTAATTCCACTGTTAAGTCACAGGTTTAAACATGTTCTCCCATTCACATCACAAGAATCGATTCTAGAAGAATCCCAAAGACAATTTAGAACTTTGCAACAGGTTTTTATTTTTGCTTTATTTCTATTACAGTGTTTGAAACCTAAAGAAATACATTTTCTCTTCAAATTTGGATGTATATATAAATATCATTTGTCTGGACTCAGCACACTCAATGCCATGGTTTCTTGGCCTATGTCTGCTCTGAAATCAAGCTTTGTTGTCTACCCAGGGGCCCTGAGAACATAGAAAATAGCCAGAGTTTACAGTTCTTGGAAAATGAAAAGCAAATGAATTTGGAAAGGAAAACCAGTGAGAAAAAGGTTCGATTCACCTTTGCAGGGTCTGTACTGGGAACCCAAGCTGCTGTTGAGGGACATCTGGTTTGTTTTGGGTGGCTGGGACCTCACACCACCTTCGCTTCTGTAGTGGCTCATTCAAAGGCAGTTCCCACAAAAGTTGGCTAAAGAGTCAATACCCAACTACAGGGCCTGAGGATTCTCATAGATGTGGACTCTCTAAAGCCATCCTGAGTCAGAGGTTCCCAGTCAGCCTCAGGATCTGAGATTTGACTTCCTTCACTACTCCCAGGGAATGGCAAGATATTGTCCTAAAACCCAGGGGCTGAAAATCTGACCTACACAGGGGCGCAGGGATCTAGCATTTAGCAAAGGGGTTCAGGTATGTTCTAACGTGGATATCAGCAGTCAGGCTGGCCCAGAAATAGCGAGGTAGGCCCAAACTACACAAACCTTTGTAACACTACACAAATCTTTCTCCTGTGGTGTTGAGCCCAAAATTTAATGCTGCAAATAGCCCAGGCCTGAGGCAAAATGCCCCCAAAGGAAATATAACAGCTTTAATTCAGACTTGGTTGGTGCTGACCTCAAATTCTTCCCTTGCTATGGTCTTAATCCGAGGCTGGCGGATAGACAAAAAGATACTGAATCATTTGTGAAGGCCTTGGCCAAAGAGCAGCTAGTGCCTATGACATGAATCCCCACAGGGTCAAAATCTCAGCTTGTTGGTTTAACAAAAGAATCCAAAAGTTAAGACACAGAAACAATACTGGACAAGATTGGTCTAGAATCCTAAAACGGCTATGGAAGAAACCTACTCTGAGCATTTTCTCAGTCTCACACTCACTTGTAGAAGATGTTACGACTGGTTATGAGCATTTTCCTGTGGCATTGGGCCTGGCACCCTTCCCCAGCCTGCCAGGGAGGCAGGCAGTCACACACATTCCTGAGGTCCCCAGGCAGCCTGTTTATCCTACAGGTCCCTGTAGGGCCTATAGGGACCTGGAGAATCTGGCTTCCTGCCTTCATTTGAGAATCCAGAATCTGAGCCCACAAGACAAATCTACAGAGGAATACCCAAGATGATAGACACCAAGCTGAGTGAGTCTTGGGAGAGGGTATGTAGCCACAACATATGAGCTGAGGCATTCAAAGAGGGGTATGTGGAATGAGGAGGAAAGTACTGCCAGGCATTCATCTTCCCTTCTATTATGCTAGAAACAGGAGTAACTCTAGGATGAAGGGGAAGGCAGGCAGACACGAAAATGGAAATCCATTTCATTCTGTACACCGTTTTTCCTTTTAAGCTGGTTTGGCTTGAGAGAAAAGTCTGTGCCTGAGAGCCTTCTTTTGCTCTTCCTTGACTAATTATAGTAGCAGCTATACTCTGTGCAGTTCAGCTCCAAAAAATTGGGCTTCTGGAAAGTTGCTTCCAGAGCAAGGAGAATAAGTAGAAGGAGGTAGACCTAAGGGTCCTAGGTAGATAATGGGGAACACCAAGGGCTCCTGAAAGCGGAAGTCATTAACACCTGCTCCTTGGAAGGGCCATTTGTACCCAAGGACCCAAGTAACCAGGCTGGCCAGCTGAGGTGGAACCCATGTGGTTCTATCAGAAGGTGCAGCCAACACCAAGACCAGGTAGTCACTGGGGAGACCTTAGAAATGTGGGCAGGCTTCTAGGACAAGAGGCCCTGTTAGTACTGGAAGATGAAGAGGGGCTGGCAATAAAGAATAGCTGGCACTGTTCAAAACAGTATTTGAATACTTTAGCTAAGAAAAAGGCTCCTTATCCCTATTCCACACCTAGAAACCTCCATCCCCACCAGAGATCTTAAAGTGGACATACCAGTCATGTGTCAACATATGAAGATTCCAAAACATGTCTTATCAGGCTACTCCCTATAGCAGCCTGGCAGTCCCTCCATCCCTGCAACACCCATTCAGAAATCTACCTGAAAGCCTTTGACCTCACCTAGGCCAGGGTCCGGAGTCCAGATGGGAGCTGTCCATGAAGAGTGGCTGTCAAGCCTGGGTTAAAGAAATATTACTTTGCTTCCCAAGATGGCCAAAGGAGAGGAGAAACACAAAAGAAACACTGCCTCTGCGGCTGGAAGAACTTCGCCTGTTGACGGAGAGGGGTTAGAGGAAGATCATGGGAAAACATGGTCTGAGGAAGACACTAACAAAGGAAAGCTCCGAGAGGCCACTTTGAGCTGATGAGAAATCTGTCCTCATGTTGTGCCCTGGGAGACTTCAGCCTTTGAGGAACACTGGCTTTAAGCAGCAGCCAGAGGATCAAGTCTTCCATCTGGTACAGGGCCCAGATCTGAAGGGAAAGTAGATTTTGGAGGAATAGTTGGGAAAAGCAGGGTGTGTAGGTCTCACAGTAAGAATTTGGTCCCAATGTCAGGGACTTAACTATTGCTTAAGATGTACAAAGTAGATCCCACTAAAGTGCTTTCTTTCCCCTTTGGACAAGGATGGGGGGTAGGGGTGAGAGTGGAGTTTTTCTTTGAACTATAGAATAGTTTGTAATGGAGTCAGCAGGCCAATCGGAAAAGGTCCTGCCTCTTGCCTACCTGGGAGACTGGGGGTTGAGTCACATTCCTAAGCTGAAGAGTAGCATCTGACACACCTTTAGTGACAAGCTATAGCCTCAAACCACCTTTCTCAGAAAATGGCTATGGAGTTGGATCTCAAACCAGAATGAAGGCAAATTCAAGGCTGACAGTGAGCACCTGAATCTTAGACCTGTAAGCAGAGGGGCATGGATTTCACCTGAGCCAGGGATTTGTAGGAATGGAAGCAAGAATGGCACTGTTTCTGGGGTAGGGAAAATACAGCTTAGAGCAGGGCACCTCTGACTGACTGACCACGGAGGAAAGCAGGGGCAGAGCAGATTGTGCCTTCTCAATGTTGGTCTATACTTACTTATCTGACAACTTCCTCCACCCCATCCCCAACCACTGGGCTTAGCTCTCATATGTAATTCACAAAAGCACAGGCAAGCCATTGTGGCACTGCACTAGCTTTATTCAAAGAGAAAAGAAAAAAAAGACACTAGGGTTATAACTGTCACAAGGAAGGGCAAAACCCAAACCAGGTACAAGGATCCCAAACAGGGAAGATATCGATAACTCTCACAAAAGTCCTGAGGCTGCTAAGTTTCTGTGATAATAGGAAAGTCAGCCATGAGTGATAACTTATGTGAACAAGGGTCTTTTGAGACCAAATCTAAGAAGGCAGACACTTTCTGGGTTTTCTGATGCAAGCAGGATGCTCACAGTAAAGATTAGAGTGTTATGCTTCACCACACCCTGGGTCATCCTTGCTTCCTTCAGGTACTGGGACAATCAGACCAGGCTGACATGCTACATAAAGGTTCCAGAGCTAAGGGTTGGTCCCCAGTGGTGGCCCAGAATCCAAGCAGAGAAGAAAAGGACCAAGCTCAGGCCTCCTGAGGGAGCTTCCACATTTCTTTGTGGTCTTCCTCACAGTACCCTACTAACAGAAATTACAGTTCTTCCTCTCAAGACCAATTAAGATTGACCTACCTAATATATAGAATATAAAAAAATACAGAACTTTTTGACATTCTCTCCTTTGGAAATAAAATATACATGATCCAACTATGGAAGAGGAAGAAAGGCCAAAGGTAGGGATCCCTGGCTATCCCAATACATGACACTCTCACTCCAACCTCCTCTGCAACTTATGGGTCACCAGAGCAAGGACTTTCTCCTCAGGAGAAAGGAAGGATCACAGCCCCCTGTCTCGTGCTTAGGAGAAAATACAGCTACCTCAGAGGTTCATTCAGCTCCGAGGGGAATTTTCAAGTAAACAAATGAAGTTGGGTCGCACCATTGGAAGGTGGGTAGGAAACATGGGATCAGTAGCGACACATGGGAAGCCCCGTCTGAAAGGCCTGTGCTCCTCCCCTCCACTCCCACTGGTGTAGTTGCCCAGGAGAGTGAGGGGGATCTCCCAAACTAAAGAGGTCTGGGCAGAGATTAGAGAGGGGTGGGGGGAAGGGCCCTGTCTTATGGTGACCTCCCCCTCAGCCTCTAGTCCCAGACAATGCTGGCAGCTGGGATTCCTAAAACCAGGAACTCATGGTTCTTGGAAAGAGCAACCTTAATACAAGAAAAATGTGCAAAAGAAAAAAATTAAATAACTCAATCCAAGCATACAAGATTAATATTCTGTCAGAGTGAGAATACTTTTTTGGGATTTCTCTCCTCCCCTCCCACCCCCTACTTCTGGAATATTCCATCTGCTCAAGTACCCAAGATAAGAGTTACACAAATCAGGGCAGAGAACTGGGAAGGACGAAGGAAGATAAAAGGGAAGGAAGTCACTACTAAAGAAAAAATAAACATAAAAAAGGTGCAAAATTGATTACCTCAGTCCTCCTTTGTCTACCCTGGGCTCCTGGGTTAAAGACATATGTGCAGCCAAAATAGAGTGTAAGGAAGAAAAACCCAACACGTCCCCTTCTTGTCACAAAACCCAAATATGAGCCTCAGATGGTTCTGTCTGTCCAGAGGGTGCTCCCTCAAAGGGAAGGGGGTGGAGCAGGTCAAGAGCACAGTTTCCAGGGCAGCAGAGGTGTGTGGTGGCTGGTGGTGGGGGGCTGGTTTCCCGCCCACCAGAGGGCTGCTTTTCCGCTGGTTGGTGGTGCTTCCCATCCCATCCCCTCCCCGGAGGCAGACATTATAGCTGGAAGCCCTCCATGGGGGCCTCAGGCTGTTGGAAGATGAACTGCTGTTGTGTTTCATCCACTTGGGGAGCCAGGCTGCTATCATCATCTTCTACACCAAAGTAGTGCTCAATGAGGTCGAAGGCCTTCTGGTAGATGTCCTGGTTCTCATGGCTCTGGAGAAACTCAATTTTATCCAAGCCTACGGTGGTAACAAGGAAGGAGGGAGAGTCAACTTTCATAAGTGCTTTTCTATTTTCCTTTACCCGAGGTATGTTCCTGTTTATAAATACAAGCAATACGATCGAATCTTTATTTTTTGACCTGAAAGAGGAAAGCCAAGATTTCCCTCCCAAACTACATAACCCCAAAGGAAAAATACCATATGTCAGTTATAAATCAGAGGTTCTAGTCCTGATTCTGCTTTTATTTTTTAAATTATTGTTTAAAATATATTTTTATTGATTTCAGAGAGGAAGGGAGAAGGAAAGAGATATAGAAACATCAATCATGAGAGAGAATCATTGATCAGCTGCCTCCTGCACGCCCCCTACTGGGGATCGAGCCCACAACCCAGGCACGTGCCCTTGACTAGAATCGAACCTGGCCCTCTTTGGTCCGCAGGCCTATGCTCTTCCACTGAGCCAAACCAGCTAGGGCCTGATTCTGCTTTTAATTACTTCTCTGAATCTCTGAGATGAGTCCATCTTGTACTCTTGCTTGAACTTGCTATAAGCTCAGCTAAAAATATGCCTTCCAGTGCCTGGTTCTATTATCAGTTCTGGAGCTTTCTTTTTGCATCTGTATTATACTTACTTGCTGGGTAGAGCCCATCTGAAAGAGAACTGATCTACTGCCCCTGAGAGGAAGAAGGAACTGATGAGATAGAACCTTGCATTCAATGATGACTCTAAAACATACACCCTCACATATGTGTACTACTTTGGAGGCGTACAGTCCTGAGACTCTGACCTATAACCTCTCTACTTAAGTCAGAGATAATGTTGGGAAAGGACACATACCATAGGCTTCTTCGATGAGGCCACAGTAGGGATTTACTCCTGAGCCACTGCGCTTGCTCTCTTGTTCTCCAAGCCGAAGGATGTTCTCCAGTCCATTGAGGGCCACTTGAACAATCTTTGAATCCATTACAGTCAGCAAATCACAAAGGGGTTTGATGCAACCCAGTGATACCAGGTACCTGAGGACCAGAGACCAGGCAAGTTCTAAAATTAATGCAGGGCCGGGGGGAGGGGAGAAATGAGTGGGAACCCTGAAGTTTAAAATATAAGGATGATGCTAGGGTCGAATTTTTCTAACCAACCAATGGAAAGTTAGCAGGTCATATATTAACCCTTAGACAAAGGAACTGCCCTGGCAATCTGTTCGGGTCCTCTCCCTGCAGCAGGGAGCTTTTCTGTAATAAACCTTTACTTTAGCTAAAAAAAAAAGAAAAAGAAAAAAATTAATGCAGTGCAAGGGAGGTGCTTAGGCAGGTACTATGATGCCTGTGGATCTCCTTCATGCATGTCAACATGCTGAGCAATCCACTCTTACTGAGTCTTTATAACCACCCATCCTTTATCTCAATCTCTCTACCTTCCCAATGTTAATGGTCTAGTTCAGCGATTTTCAACCTTTCCCACACATGAATTAATTACTAAAATTCTGTGGCACACCAAAAATATAATTTTTGCCTATCTGACAAAAATGAAAGGCATAATTTTGATTCATTCACACCAGACAGCTATTGTTGTATTGGCTGTTGTGAATTTTATTTGACAATCTAAGGGGAAAAGAGGTCAGTGCCCTTGACTAAATTGTCAGGTACTTCATGTTTTTTTTGTTTTGTTTGTTTTTAACACTTTTAAAAGAGATTTTAAATTGATTTTTAGAGAGAGAGGAAGAAAGAAGAAGAAGGAGAGGGAGAGGGAGAGGGAGAGGTAGAGGGAAAGAGAGAGAGAGAGAGAGAGAAAGAAACATCAATGATGAGAGAATCATTGATCACACCCCACTCTGGAGCTTGAGCCCGCAATCCAGGCATGTGCCCTGACCAGGAATCAAACCGTGACCTCCAGGTTTATAGGTCGACGTTCAACCACTGAATCACACAGCCGGACATAGTACTGCATGTTTTAAAAATTCTTGTGCAAACCAGTTGAAAATCGCTGGTCTAGTTCATTTCCATGTGGAAGGCTACCATGATTCCTTCTCCTCATCTCTAATGTCTCCTTACTGTAATATTACCACTCTGAACACATCATTTCTCTGCTTAAAAGTTTGCACAGTACAAGCTTTACAGGCATGACAATATAGACCAGCCGTGGGCAAACTACGGCCCGCTTGAAATGAATAAAACTAAAAAAAAAAAAAAAAGACCGTACCCTTTTATGTAATGATTTTTACTTTGAATTTATATTAGTTCACACAAACACTCCATTCATGCTTTTGTTCCGGCCCTCCGGTCCAGTTTAAGAACCCATTGTGGCCCTCGAGTCAAAAAGTTTGCCCACCCCTGATATAGACCCTCTACAATCTGGCTTCTACCCTCCTCTTCTAGCTTCGCTTCCCATCATTCCCTTCTAAACACTCTACATTCCAAACATGTAAAAGTCTACAAGTGCCCTAGATGGTTTGGCTCAGTGGATAGAGTGTCGGTCTGCGGACTGAAGGGTCCCAGGTTTGATTCCAGTCAAGGGCACATGCCCAGGTTGCGGGCTTAATCCCCAGTAGGGGACATGCAGGAGGCAGCCAATCAATGATTCTCTCTCATCACTGATGTTTCTATCTCTCTCTCTCTCCCTCTCCCTTCCTCTCTGAAATCAATAAAAATACATTAAAAAAATAAAGGTCTCCAAGTTTCTGGTTCTTGTACTTTACTTATGTTTTTCCAACCCTAAAGGCCTTTTACAACCCTGTATTTATCCTTCAAAGATTAACTTAATGGCTATCCCTTTACTCCTAAAGCTTTATGTATACAGTCATGCACAGCATAACAAAATTTTGGTCAATGACAGACTATATGATGATGGTCCCATAAAAATTATAACATACCAGAAAAATTCTTATCACTTACATCGTAGCCATCATAACATCATAGCACAACACATTATTCACTTATTTGTGGTGATGCTGGTATAAACAAACCTACTGCACTGCCATTGTATAAAAGTAAAACATACACAGTTATGTACAATACATAATACTTGATGATAATAAATAAATATGTTGCTGCTTTATGTGTTTACTATACGGTACTTTTTATTGTTATAAGTGTACTCTTTCGGGGGGGGGGGGGAGAAGGGGTCCTAATATACGGTGACAGTATAAGATTTGACTTTGGGTTGTGGGCACATGGTGCTGCAATAAACAGATCTTATAACACAAAAACCCACACCTGAAACCTATATGTTCATGTTGACCAATGTTACCACAATAAATTTAATAAAAATAAAGAAACAAAAAAAGAATACTCTTCTGGTTATAAAAAAGTTTGCTGTCAAACAATAACTGTTATGCTGGCAGCAGCCTCACACATCTCATGTTTACCATGTCACATCATTTTGTTTAGTATAGTAATATGTAGTACTAGAGGCCTGATGCACGAAATTCGTGCACGGGTAGGATCCTTAGGCCTGGCTGGCGATCAGGGCGGATAGGGGCCTTCTGGCTGCCAACTGGGGCCTTCCTTCGTTCCCACCGCCCCCTGGTGGTCAGTGCACGTCATAGCGAGCAATCAAACTTACAGTCTCCCGGTCAAACTCCCGAGGGGACACTTTGCATATTAGCCTTTTATATGCAGAGATAGGCTTGTAGCCTAGGAACTGTGTGCTATACCATATAGCTTAGGTATGGAGTAGGCTAGACCATCTAGGTTTGTTTAAGTGCACTCTGTGATGTTTGCACAATGGCAAAATCCCCTAACCTTACAACGTATTCTTGTCATTAAGTGGTGAATGACTGTACTGAATATATCCCCTTACTAAGGGCAAGACACTTGCCTAATTCCCACCACTCCTATTCATATTGATAATGGAAACTAAAAAAAACAACAAAAAACAACAACAAAAAAAACCCCCCAAAAAACAAGCACACATACACAAAATACTTTCTTCTTGTTTCTCCCAAGTATTACCCCCCAAAATGATTTCCTAAAGAAGCTGATGCGAATGAACCATAACATGGCTCTCCTTCATTTGCATGGATAACTGACAATTACATATAGTCTCTGGTGTGGAGAATGAGGTAGGAGACAGATATCTGCATCACAGATTTCCGTTCTCCAGGAGAGAAAAGAGGTATATGGTCTATAGGTATCTATTCCAGACTCCAGTGCCACTCTAGTAGTTTATCAGTTAGAACCTATTGCAGCTGCCTAGCCAGTTCAGTGTTTGAGCGTTGATCCATGCACCAAGAGGTTGCTGGTTCCATTCCCAGTCAGGGCACATGCCCAGATTGCGGGCTTGATCCATAGTATGGGATATGTAGGAGGCAGCCAATCAATGATTCTCTCTCATCACTGATGTTTCTATCTCTCTCTCCCTTCTTCTCTGAAATCAATAAAAATATATTTAAAAAAAAGAAAAGAAAGAAGGAGAGTATACATATCACTCCAGACAAGGGGGGAAAAAACATGATACCTGATCTGCTCAGGGGTTCCTCCAGATGTGGCATTGGTGATGGCCCAGGCTGCCTCTTTCCTTGTACGGAACTCTGCTTTCTGAAGAATTTCGATCAGCACAGGGAAGATGTTTGTATCTATGACAGCCTGAGAGAGGATTGGGGTGGGGATGGGGAGGAGAAAGTAAGTCACTTCAAGAAGAGAAATCAAATCCAGCCCACAAATCAGCTAAGATTGAGACCTCTTCCCTTCCTGGGAGTCTTCCTTTGTTCTTGTTATGTAGATGAGAGACTGTGGGGGAAACTGGCTTCCACTACACAGAATCTTTGACCCCAATTTCTAAAGGGGAACAAATTCTTCTAGAAGCAAATATTCTACAACCTCTCATGTCCCCATGCCTTCCCACCTGACGTACCCACCCCGACTTCCCTTCTGCTTGTTCTACCTGTATTTGAGCCCTGTTGCCAGCAGTGATATTTGAAATGGTCCAGCAAGCTTCTTTCCGAATTGACTCCTTGGGGCTGCTCAGCAAGTGGAGGAGGCAAGGGAGTGCTGAACAGTTGAGAATGACCTAGAACACCAAAAGCATAGGCAACAAAAATTAGATAAATGGACTTAATCAAAATTTAAAACTTTTATGCATCAGAAGATACCATCAATAGAGTGGACAGCTAAATCACAGAACGGGAGAAAATATATGCAAAACAAATACCTGGTAAGAATTAATATCAAGAATATATAAAGAGCCGAAACCGGTTTGGCTCAGTGGATAGAGCGTCAGCCTGCGGACTGAGGGGTCCCAGGTTCGATTCCGGTCAAGGGCATGTACCTGGGTTGCGGGCACATCCCCAGTGGGAGATGTGCAGGAGGCGGCTGATCGATGTTTCTCTCTCATCGATGTTTCTAACTCTCTATCTCTCTCCCTTCCTCTCTGTAAAAAATCAATAAAATATATTAAAAAAAAAAAAAGAATATATAAAGAATTTCTACAATTCAACAATGAAGAAACAAACAACTCAATTTTAAAAATGGGCATAGGATTTGAATAGACATTTCTCCAAAGAAGATATATAGATGGCCAAAAAGCAGATAAAAAGATATCAAACATCACTAATCATTAGGAAATGCAAATCAAAACCACAATGAGATACCACTTTACACTTACTAGGATGACTACTATAAAAAACTCCCAGAAAATACAAGTGTTAAGGACATGGAAAAAACCGGAACCTGGTACTTTGAGGGTGGGAATGCAAACTGGTATGGCCACTGTGCAAAACCCTATGGTGATTCCTTAAAATATTACACGTACAATTATCATATGATCCAATAATTCCACTTCTGGATACATATCCAAAAGAACTGAAAGCAGAAACTCAAACAGATACCTTGAACACCAATGTTCAATGCAGTATTATTCACAATAGCCAAAAGGTGAAAACAACCCAAGTGTCTATCAACAGATGCATAAAATGCATAAACAAAATGTGGTGTACGCATACAATGCAATATTATCTATAATAATAAAAGCATAATATGCTAATTAGACCAGATGTTGTTCCAGATAACCTTCCAGATGAAGCTGGGGCTGTGAGGGAAGCCCGGGTCCCGGGTGCCAGAGGGAAGTCGGTGCCGGCAGCCAGGGGAAGGAAGGCCTACTCTTGCACAAATTTCGTGCATAGGGCCTCTAGTTTACACATAAAAAAGAATGAAGGTCTGACACATGCTATAATATGAATGAACCTCAAAGACATTATGCTAAGTGAAATAAGGTGACACAAAAGAACAAATATATATGGTTCCACTTATATGAGGTACCTAGAGTAGTCAAACTCACAAAGAAAGTAGTATTGTGGCTACCAGGGGCTGGGGGGAGGAGGAAATGGGGAGTAATTATTTAATGGGTACAGACTTTCAGTTTGAAATTATGAAAAAACTGGAGGCCCAATGCAGGAAATTCACGCAAGAGTAGGCCTTCCTTCCACTGGCTGCCGGCACTGGCTTCCCTCTGGTACCCAGGACCCGGGCTTCCCTCGCAGCCCTGACTTTGTCCGGAAGGATGTCCGGTCTAATTAGCATATTATGCTGTTATTATTATAGATTGTGAAAATGGATGGTGCCCTAACCAGTTTGGCTCAGTGGATAGAGCGTCAGCCTGCGGACTGAAGGGTCCCAGGTTCGATTCCGGTCAAGGGCATGTACCTTGGTTGCGGGCACATCCCCAGTAGGGAGTGTGCAGGAGGCAGCTGATCGATGTTTCTCTCTCATCGATGTTTCTAACTCTATCCCTCTCCCTTTCTCTCTGTAAAAAAAATCAATAAAATATATTAAAAAAAAAAAAAAGAAAAAAAGAAAAGAAAATGGATGGTGATGGTGGTTGAGTAACAATGTGAATGTACTTAATGACACCGAAATGTACACTTGAAAATGGTTAAACCAGTAAATTTTATGTATGAATATTTGCTCACATACGCACACATAAGAATGGCCTAGAAAATGAGTGTGGGTTTGATCACCTATAAAAAACTGTCAAGAATCCCACAGAATTATGTCAACTACTTAAGACTCAAAGAAAACCCAGGTTTCTAGCCTTTGAACAGAAGAGAACCCGTTTACTGTGCCCTCCCTGTCTAGATTAACAGGAGGTAGTGTCCCTATAGGATCCTAAGGTCTAGGAAGTAGGGGTAAGGTTTCATACCTTTTAATATCTCGAAAGGACCAGGACTCAAAAACTGTTAACAGTTAGCTTACAATGTCCCAGGTACTAAGTTAGATTAATTTAATGTTCCTTCAAAAGCACAGAATGTATGATAATTTGCTTCCAATTTATAGAAAAAAATGAAGGCAACCAAGCTGCCCGTGATCATATAGCAAGTGGCAGAGTTGGAAAATTTCACCCAAGCCCATGCTTTCTCTCCTAGTCTATGCTGCCTCCCATCAGCCCCAGTTCTTGGTAAGGAAGGGTTTTGTCCACAGGCAGCTCTCTTCTTCCTTACCTGGGTTTGGATGTCATCCCCAGTGACGATGTTACCCACAGCTCTCAGGGCAGGAGAAGCCACTTTGTAATCATTATGCCTGCAGAGGAGGGAGAACTGGTGAGTAAAAAACAGTACATAGTACTCAGCCCTGTTGACCACTAAGGCTGACAGCACTCTCCTGGCTCCAGATATTGGGATAGGGCAGCAATTCTTTAGTCTGAGCTTGGAAAAGATTAGGGAGCCCTAGTTGGTTTGGCTCAGTGGCTAGAGCAGCGGCCTGCGGACTGAAGGGTCCTGGATTTGATTCCGGTCAAGGGCACATGCCTGGGTTGTGGGCTCAATCCCCAGTAGGGGGCATGCAGGAGGCAGCCAATTGATGATTCTCTCTCATCATTGATGTTTTTATCTCTCTTTTTCTATCCTTTCCTCTCTAAAATCAATAAAAAAATATTTTTAAAAAAAGAAAAGGAAAGATTAGGGAATCTGTACCCTTTCTGAGACCACTCACATTAGAAGCTCTACTAATCTCCTGCAGACTCCAGAGTCTATGACCGCCTGGATCTTCTCATTGGGGCCATCAGACAAATAAGAAAGGGCCCAGCAAGCATCTGCCAGCAAATCTGAGTCACTGCTGAAGAGGAGGCGAGACAGCACAGGCAAACAAGGGGAGACCTGTTGGAAGCAGAGTGAGAGGGACTCAAGTTATATCAGCTCTACTACTACTAACACTGCTGTCCCCGCCTCTACAAGTAATTCTATGCCCTGGACATCCCTACAACATTAAGCCATCAGGCCTAACTTTTCACTTTCCCATCTATGCACACAAGATTACCTACTTCATTGACAATAGCCTTTTTCAGTCTCCCATAGATTGAGAGACTCATAGGAGTTCCCCAAAGACTTGAAAACTCCCACATAAAAATTCATCCACATGAAGGAACCTACTATCCCTCAGGAACCGGTAAGACACTCTCTCACCATTGCAAACTCTGGAGGTGGGTTCTTCCCTCGGCAGAGGTTTGACAGGGCCCAGACTGCATTCCGTGTCATTGTCAGTCGTGTGGATTTTGTAAGGAGCCTGAAAGAAAAAAAAAAAAAGCCAGATCCTGAGCAATGATGTCCTTGGCATAGGGTTGTTGCCAATGGACCCCAGGAGCAAATCCAATTAGATTCCTAAGACTCTAGCAGCCTCAGTTTCTTCTTACCCATAGACCTAAGTTAATAGCCTGTTTGTGCTGGGAGGCCAACCTGCATGCCCAGAGGATTACGATATGAGATTGTGCTCTCTGAAGAACAGTTCATCCATTTATTTTGGTTTAAATGTAATGTAGCTCTACTTTAAGGGGTGGGGGAAGGGTCCAGATGACCCTTCATGGGGACTTTGACCTGCGGTTTACAACAGAGCTTTCCAATGTCCCTATGCATAAACCCATAGCAAATCAATGTATTCTGCAGAGAAGGCTAGATTTTCCAAGATGGGCTAATCCTGCCTCTCTCCCTGGCTCAAAAATAAGGCAGGTATGACCAACATAAGATTCCACGGTACCATGAAGTGAGGAAGCGCAAGATCCACCTTGGCACAGACCAGCAGCATAATCTTCATGCTCTTAAATGATACTTTTTACTTTGGCAATCAAAATGTACTTTTTATCTTTACTTACCATCTTGAGGTAAGTTCCCCCAAAAGAACTACCACATGGCTGCCCTACAGATGCCTCAGGTGCAGGTGATCATTAATTACTCACGTTAACAAAGGATTAAGGATGGAACAGTTCAAGACGTAATCTCGGCAAACGGAGCTGTCTCCAGCTATGTTTCCCAGTGCCCAGACTGCCTGAAAAGGGGATGATGAAACTGTCACCCACAGAGCCTAATGGTTTCTTTATACTTACAACCATAGAGTGAGTACCCACCAATAATCAGATGAAAACCATATCAAGGCCCAAGACACACTGAATAAGCTCAGGTGCCATCTCTGTTGACTGTTTTTTATTTTTAATGTAGTTTTGTTTGTTTTTTTCATCTTCACACAAGGATATATTTTTAATTGATCAAAAAAGAATTTTTTTAGAGAGGAAGGGAAAGAGAGGGAGAAACATCGATATGAGAGAGAAATATGGACTGGTTGCCTCCCCTACACACCCCAACTGGGGACTGAACCCGAAACCTAAGTATGTGCCCTGACCAGGAATCAAACCCACAACCTTTTGGCATATTGGATGATGCTCCAACCCAGCCAGGGCCCTTTTGGTGTCTTTTATGAGCACTTGCTCTATGATGGCCTTTATTATGAGGGTTCCTGGTTCAGTGGCAAAGACAGGCTGACCTCTGTACTGCAGCCAGAGAAGCCTAACCAAGACCTTTCTAGCCCCACCCCCACAAAAGGCGAAAGTGATTGAAAAGGGGCACTCTGGTATTCTCACAGGACCTACCTTACTGTAATGGAGGGAAAAAATCCCAGTACCACTCTCTACTTCTAGCCAACAGCAAATATCCAGTGGAAGAAATGGAAGTTGTATCTTTATCTCTATGATCTGTAGGTACTGAGAAGTGGGTACAGGGGTATCTTTTCTCCACTACCACCTCTGATGCCAAATGTGTGGAGTTTTTCCACACCAAGTGCCCAACAAGTCAACTAAATTCTAACACTAACTCTTGGAATTAGCGCAAACCCTACAGGTTAAAGCTCAGTCCACAACACTGCCCCCACTTTAGACACCAGGCACCACACACTAGCTATAAATTTGAGAGTTCCCACAATCCCCTTCTCAGGTTCAATAATTCACTAAAGGTTCACAGAACTCAGGGAAACACTTTAGTTATTTACCAGTTTATTATAATGGCTACAACGCAGGAAGAGCTAAATGAAAGCGATGCATAGGGCACGGTATGGGGTGAGGAGTGGGGGTGTCACAGAGCTTCCATGTCCTCTCCAGGCTTCCCATCTTCCCAGCATATTGATGTGTTCACCAATCTGGGAGCTCTCTAAATAATCGCTGTTCAAGAGTTTTTATAACCAGATCTCTAGCTCTCCTAACCTTCCTGAGAGGTTGGGGGGGGATGGGTGGGGAAGGTTTTGGGAGTTGGGGCTGAGAGTTCCCACCCTCTAATCCTATGTTTGGTCATTCTGATGACCAGCCACCCCCTTTCCCCCCAAACCTGAGATTAAGGAGCCACACCCTGAACCATCTCATTAGCATAGACTCAGGTATGTTCCAAAAGGGCTCATTATAAATAACAAAAGACACTACTATCACTCAGAAAATTCGAAGGATTTTAGGAGCTTTTTGCCAGAACTGGAGGCAAAGACCAAACATATTTTGTATTATACCACAGGTACTATCAAGAATTAAGCCAGCCTTGGCTGGTGGGTTGCTCTGTTGGGCACTGTCCAGTGCACCAACAGGTTGCCGGTTCGATTCCCACCGGGGTTTCTGGCTCAATCCCTGTTAGGGGGCATGTAAGAGGCAGCTGATTGATGTTTTGCTTTCACATAGATGTTCCTGCCGCTCCCCCCCCACCTCCCCCTCTTCAAGAAAATCAATTAAAAATATCTTCTTTTTTTTTTTTAAAAGAATTAAGCCAAATTTGAGCATTACCTGTTCCTGTACATCCTCAAAGTCCGAGTTAAGCAGCTCTATAAAAATGGGGACAGCCCCTGCTTCAATGACAATTTTGGTCTGCTGAGAGGTTCCAGAGGCAATGTTGGTTAAAGCCCAGGCAGCTTCAAACTGAAAGTGAGATTAAACCATCATTGAGAAAGCATTTCAGACAGGGCAGCTATGCCTACCAGCTGGCTCAGGCAGTAAGCCTCTTGTTCCTGACTAATAAATAAATAAATAAATAAATCAAAACACAGGCCTTTTCCGCTCCCCCTTTAAATGGTAGGAAGAGGTATTGGCAGTGACATAACAGAATGGGAAGCCAGGAGTGGGCCTCGATGGTCCAGGTCTAGACCTGCACTACTTCAGCACCAATTAGTCCTTCAGCAAATAATTTTTTTATTTCCCAAGATTCACTTTCTTCATTACTGAAACCAGGATTAGCGTGTGCTGGATCTCTCAAAGTCCCTTTTAGCTGAGTTTCTAGCAAGTTCCAACAGACTGACTCACCACCCATTTCTGAGAAAAAAAATCCAGAGGCTAAATAATTTGCCTCAGGTCACACAGGTAATGTGGAAGTGAACTGGGACCTCTGATTTATAACTGAACAGTCCATCTGTTATATTCTGGTATCTTTCTTTCACATTATTTTAGGGAAGAGATCTGGGCTCTCTTATTTGAGGCTAAGACTTCTAAGCAACAAACAGATAGCTTCTCTTAAATGTTTCCTCACATTACTTGTCTATTTCCTAAGAGATGTGTCTATAGAAACATCCCACTGCAATTTCTTTGAAGGAGGGCTTTCATCTGATACCATTCCACCCAGAGCTCACCTGTAATGTACAATTCTCATTCCTCTTCAGAAACTCCACAAACCGATCCACCACTCCTGGTGTGTTGATAACTTCATCTATTGGAGGGCTAGGCTCTGGAAGAGGGAGAAAGGAAGAAGAGGAAAAGTCAGGATAGGCTTTGGCTGATGCATCCACTGGGGTCAACTCACCATCCTTCCTAGATGCTCCTGACCATCCTTATGAGCATGCTCAAACTCCTTTTGGGTGAGGTGGTTTTCACAACAGTTGGTCATCTTTGACCTCTATGAAGCAGTTGGGATGCTAAAGAGTAAAGCCTATCCTAATTTAAGTATACTCACCTTTGGCTTATTGAACCTAAGCAAGTAAGTGACCTTACTTACCTAAGCAAGTAAGTAAGGGAGAGAAGAAAGCCCAAGGGATGAGCAACCCTAGTCTACACATTTTCCTTCTAAGACCAGCATTCCTTTATTGGGAGAGCTGCTTCATATACTGAGACAAGAAGTATTTTTACTATCAAATTTTTACTGAGCATGAACAATGTGCCCGACACAGTTCTAGATACTGAGGATACAGTAGTAAACAAAACCAAAAGTCTCTGTTCTCACAGAGCTTACATTCTAGTGAGGAGAGAGATTCTGTTGATAGAAGGTAATAAATATAATGAGGAAAAAAAGAATAGGTTGGGCAAGGTAAAAAGATTAAAAATGCCAAGGGTTGGGAGAAGGCCTGTAATTTTAAATAGGATATCAGGGTAGGCTTCATCAAGAAGGTAGGATCTGATCGCAGAAGTGAGGGAGCTGTCACACAGATATGTCAAGTAGAGGGTATCAGGTAGAAGGAATAGCCAGTGCAAAGGTAAAAATGTGCCTGGCTTCTCTAAACACCAAAGCAGAATGAGTGAAGGGGGGTAGGTTGATGAGGTCGGTGAGAAGAAACAAGACACTAAATCATGTAGTTGGTCTCTTTGGGGGTGGGCCAGGCTTTGTACCTTTAGAGAGCAGTTTCCGGAATTTCTGTGTGGTTGCTAACTGCAGGTCAGAGTCATCAGAAAAGAGCATCTCTACCATCTCTCTTGTGATCACACTCTCCTAGAATATAAAACAGGTTCAAGGCTTTGCAAACCAACACTAGAGTCAGACATGAGCACATAATCCTGTGTGGCATCCTACTTTGTAAAGAGTTGAGGGCAAGAGGACAGCATAACAGACAGGCTCAGGAGAATGCGCTGGTTTAATCCATGGCTGCTTCAAGTCGGGACATTTGAAAAATAATTCCTTACTTTTGAGGCAACTGATGGCTTCCTTTTAAGTGTTTCCTAAGGTGTCTCTATCAGAGATAAATCCTTATGGTCTCTTACAGCTGACCAACTACAAAAGGGCCCGTGGAAGAAAGAGCTTTGCATGGTTGTGAGCAAAACTACTAGATGATGTGAACTGCCCAATTTCTGTTTTGTAGAAGCAGGTACTTCCCAGGCCTGCCCGAAGCATGGGCCTTACCCCAGTGGTAGAGCTCACGTAGGAGTCCATGAGGAGACTATCGAACATGGCAGCTTCTTCATTAATCATCTCTACATTTCTCCGTTTAAATAGCTGCAAGTGAAGAGAAGAGATGGTGGTAAGACTATTCACTGAAACAAAAACAACAACAACAAAGAATAACCTAATGTTAAATTATGGCAAAACTGTCAAGGAAATGCTAGCATGGTTGAGAAAATGCCAAGTTTAACACACTGGCATAGGAAGATATTCAAGAGCTTTACTTTCTATTTTATCTAACTATTTTCATTTTTATAAGCAAAAAAATCTTTAAAGATTCTAATGCCCTTTGTATAAAAGGTGAAGAGTATAAAAGGCTTTGAAGGAATAATAGTAAAGCAAGAGGGTAGGCAAAAGCAGGTTAGGTGACTACATGTAGGTTTGGGCAAGGCACCAATTAGTGGGTGTGTGAAAGAGCACAAATGATGAGGTATTAATATACTCTCAGTTCTAGGGAGACTTACAAGAATGGACCCAGGAAAGAGAAATAAGGCAGCCCAGGATAGCGGATGAACCTCTTAAAAAGTCAGGCTTGGAGCTAGGCCTTGAAGGCCAGGCCTAACACTGACTTTAGGGTAAAGAAGAGAGAAGGCAATAAATAGGGGTCTAGAACCAAAATGTTATATTGAAGACAGAAATGATGCTGCTGTTATGAAAAAAGAATAAGGGATTGATTTTCTCTTTCTTTTTTTTTGTTTAAATATACTTTATTGATTTTTTACAGCGAGGAAGGGAGAGGGACAGAGAGTTAGAAACATCGATGATGAGAGAGAAACATCAAGATCAGCTGCCTCCTGCACACCCCCACTAGGGATGTGTCCGCAACCAAGGTACATGCCCTTGACCGGAATTGAACCTGGGACCCTTGAGTCCGCAGGCAGATGCTCTATCCATTGAGCCAAACCAGTTAGGGCTGATTTTCTCTTTCTCAAAGCTTTCAACATTTCTTTACAACAAAGGAAGCTGTCAAACATGGCAGCTTAGCTACTTTCCTAAAGGAGGGTGAGAGTGCAAGGTGGAGACCAATCACAGCAGCTGGATTCTTTCTCTGAACAGTATGTTTAAGAATACTCTGGGCCCTGGCCAGATAGCTCAATTGGTAAGAGTGTTGTCCCAGTATGCCAAGGTTATGGGTTTGATCCCCACACATGGCACATAAGAATCAACCAATGGTACTAGTAGGTGTGGTCTAGTGGTTAGAGCACCAAAGGGTCACCCTTTAATCACGGCTAAGGTCATGTACCTGTGTTGCAGGTTTGATCCCCGGTCCCAGTTGGGGTGTGTGCAGGAGGCAACCAATTGATGTGTCTCTCTCACATCAATGTTTCTCTCTCTCTTTCCTGTTCCTCCCTTCCAATCTCTCTGCAAAAAACAAACAAAAACAATCAATGGAAAAAATATCCTTGGGAAGCCCGGCCAGCATGGCTCAGTGGATGAGTGTTGACCTACGAACCAGGAGGTCACGGTTCAATTCTGAGTCAGGGCATATGCCCAGGTTCCAGGCTTGATCCCCAGTGTGGGGTGCACAGGAGGTAGCCGATCAATGATTCTCTCTCATCATTGATATTTCTATCTCCCTCTACCTTCCTCTCTGAAATAAAAAAATATAAGTGGAACAAATTGATGTTTCTCTCTCTCTCTCTCTCTCTCTCTCTCTCTCTAAAAACATATAAAAGAATAAATTTGAAAAATAAAGAATACTCAGGTTAACCCACTTGTTGCTCCCGCTTCTGCTTCCGAAGCTGAATGCCCTCTTCCTCTCTTCTTCGCCTCATTTCCTCAGGGTTTAGGGCATTGTTCTTATAGCTCTTCATCCGATAATTGTCTTTCCCTGGGCTTGCCATGGTCTCTAGAAGAAGAGAAGATACAAACACATTGGCAAAGGCTCTTAAGAAGACACTTCCTTTTCCCTGGGCTCCTGTCTCTACCCGCCCTCCCTTACTCAGGGAGACCACAGATTCTCAAGGAAGCATAATAATCTCATTAACCACACTTGACACCTCTACCTCCACCAAAACAGTTTCCTTTAAGCATAATAAGCTGGTTAAATTAAGTGTAATTATAGCAATTGACATAAACATAATAGTTAAATGTGTAGGCCCTGGAGGCAGTTTGTGAGGGTTCAAATTCTGGCTCTCTGCTTCTTAACTGTGCAAACCTTCAATAAGTTGCTTTAACCTCTAAGCTGTAGGATCTTAGCTTTCAAACAGGGACATAATAGTTCCTACTTCATAGAGTTGTTAGAAAAGTGCCCTGGCCGGGCAGTTCAGTTGGTCAGAGCAGTGGTTCTCAACCTTCTGGCCCTTTCAATACAGTTCCTCATATTGTCACCCAACCATAAAATTATTTTCGTTGCTACTTCATAACTGTAATGTTGCTACTGTTATGAATCGTCATGTAAATATCTGATATGCAGGATGGTCTTAGGCGACCCCTGTGAAAGGGTCGTTCGACTGCCAAAGGGGCCGCGACCCACAGGTTGAGAACCGCTGGGTTAGAGTGTCGGCCCAATATGCCAAGGTTGTGGGTTTGATCCCCGGTCAGGATACATACAAGAATCAACCAATGAATTCATAAATAAACAGAACAAAAAATTGACGTTGTTTTCTCTCTCTCAAATCAACAAAAAGAGAGAGAAAAATTAAATAGGTTAATACATGTGAAGTACTTCTTAGAACATAATATGGTAAATGCTCATAAGCTATGATCACCTCCATGATGAGAAAGTTATATAACTTGCCTAATAAACTCAAATATATTTAACCTAGCCAAATGAAATAATTATAGTACATACAAATTCAGTGGAATACCATGTATTGTTTAAAAAGGACCCAATTTTAAAATGAATCTGTAATATTTGATACATACAAAAGGAAACAATGTTGTTACCAAACAAAATAATACAGTGAGAATCTGTAAACCCACCACCAAATCTAAGAACTAGAATATTATTAATATGCCTGGGCAATGGCTGGGTAGCTCAGTTGGTTAGAGTGTCATCCCGATATGCCGAGGTTGCACAGGCAACTCTCTAACCAACTGAGCCACACAGGCCAGGGCTCACTTTTTTTATGGAGCTGTATTTCATTCATTTTTCTTGTTACATTATTTCACTGCATAAATGTATCATAATTCAACCATTTTTATTATGCTGGTCTTCCACTCCCAACCCCCACCCCCATTTTATTCTATTACAAACCTTTTGGAAAGTTGTTGAGCTTAAGTGGTAGATATAAGTTTTCTGAAATTCTTTTTTTGCTTGGAAGCTAAAATTTTATCATTGGCAACATATACTGACTTACTTCTTTTTTTTCTTTTTAAATCCTCACCTAAGGATATTTTCCACTGATTTGAAGAGAGAGGGAAAGACTAAGAGAAATATCGATGTAAGAGAAACACATCAATTGGTTGCCTCTTGCACACACCCCAACCAGGGCCCAGGCCAGGAAGGAGTCTGCAACCAAGGTATGTGCCCTTGACCAGAATCGAACCCGGGACCCTTTAGTCCACAGACCGACGCTCTATCCACTGAGCCAAATTGGCTGAAGCCTGACTTACTTCTTGCATTTTAAGAAAATGCCTGCCCAATACCTAAGTGTGAATAATGAGTTTTTCTGTCAGTCATTCTTTCAAGTAAAAACAGTGTTGTTTTAAAAATGTCTAGTTTAGCCCTAGCTGGTTCGGCTCAGTGGATAGAGCATCAGCCTGTGGACCAAAGGGTCTCAGGTTCAATTCCGGTCAAGGGCACGTGCCGGGTTGCGGGCTTGGTCCAATGTGCAGGAGGCAAGCAATCAATGATTCCCTCTCATCACTGATGTTTCTATCTCTCTCTTCCTCTCCCTTCCTCTCTGAAATCAATTAAATTTTTTTTTTTTTTTTTTAAAAAGAGAAATCTCCTGGTACACCCTCCTGGAGGCACACCATTCGAATCTACTTTTCAGGTAATTTTTTCTTTCTCCTAAACTGTAAGGGTCCCCACAGGGGAGCAGCAGGCAGCAGCAGCTTGTTCTGAGCTAACCCCCTTAACCTGTCTCCAGTGAGTTGACAGCAGCCCTGCCTAGGCTCTATCCTAGGCCTTTCCTTGTTTCACTGCTCCCAGCTTTAATAAATGTACTCTCAAAATAAAAAAATAAATCTCCTGATATAAATTGTCTAACCACTATGCTGTACAACTGAAAGTAATATAATATTAACTGTAATTGAAATTTTAATAAAGAAATCCCATATAAAAGGCTAATATGCAAATTGACCAAACGGCAGAATGACCGGTTGCTATGACGCACACTGACCACCAGGGGGCAGACGTTCAATGCAGGAGCTCCCAACCTGGTGGTCAGCATGCTCCCACAGGAGGAGTGCTGCTCAGCCAGAAGCCAGGCTCACGGCTGGCAAGCGCAGCGGTGGTGGCGGGAGCCTCTCCTGCCTCCATGGCAGCGCTAAGCAGGGAGTGGGCCTAAGCCAGCAGTTGGACATCCCCTGAGGGCTCCTGGATTGCAAGAGGGTGCAGGCCGGGCTGAGGGACCCGCTCCCCACCCCCAACCCCGCCCGAGGGCATGAATTTCATGCACAGGGTCTCTAGTAAATAAATAAGTCTCCCAAGGATAAGATTTGGGCTGGTTCAAGTAGGAGATTCACTTTGGGGGTGGAAATGGAATAAATGAGGGGGGGAAAATAGTCTATTAAGAGAATCTGAGGGAAAGAGAAATGAAAATGGAAGATGAGGAGAGAGTTGAATTCTAGAGTAAACATACTGAGAAAATGAAACTTCAGAGATGATGCCTTGGGTCATTCTAGAAAGTAGCCTGGCAAACCAATAGCATCAACTGGGTCTTAGAATGTGCAAGTTGCCATACCCACTTGATAAAGCCCAAGTGGATTTATCATTAAACAAAAAACCAGGGCAGTAGCCTCCCTCTGGAACCTCTAATTACCCCTGTGCCTCAAGACTAATAGGCACAGGATAGATTCATAAAGTTGGCACTGTGGACTTCTGTCCCCTATTACCTGACAGATGGTTTTTCATGACTCTGAACCTGGGCCCTCCAAGAGGGCTGTTTTCTCCTTCCAGCAAAGCTGACAGTGAAGCTGGAAGGAGGCCCAGGTTGTACTTCTTTAGTCACCATGGTGACAAGAAACTATCACAAATATTTGCTTATGACTTCACTGGAGAAGCCAGGCAGGGAAGACTGGATTGGAAGGAGGAACATCTGCAGAAGCACATCTGGAATCAGCAACCAAAGAAGGCTGGAGTCTTGTGCAGGCAAGGGCGCTTTTTTCATCATGCACTCCCTACTTGCTGGGACTGGATCAAGAAACCCACAATACAAATATACTTTTTCTAGCACCTGATTGCCTTGGGTTTTCTTAGTCAAGAACTCTCACAAAGTAAATAAGTCCCTGAAGTTATACCTCCTATTTTCAGGAAATTAATGTCTAATACTGACATGGATTTTCTAAGCTTTTAGAAATAAGGGACTAGCAATAATAATACAAAATAGGTATGGACCCTGCTATGGCCTGAATTATGCTCCCTCCTTCAGATGTTGAAGTCCTAACCTTCAGTACCTCAAAATGTGACTGTATTTGTAGACAGGGTCTTAATACTTGGGTAAGGCCTTAATCCAATATGAAGATTAAGATATAGATGCAGCCTGGCCGCCATTGCTCAGTGGTTGAGCATCAACCTATGAACCAGGAGGTCATGGTTCGATTCCCAGTCAGGGCACATGCCTGGGTTGTGGGCTCCATCCCCAGTGTGGGGCGTGCAGGAGGCAGCCGATTCATGATTCTCCCTCATCATGGATGTTTCTATCTCTCTCCCTCTCCCTTCCTCTCTGAAATAAAAATATATTTTTAAAAAAAGATGTAGATGCACATAGTGTCAAAAAAAAAGTCCAAAAAAAGATACAGATGCAGCCCTAGCCAGTTTGGCCCACAGACTGAAGGGTCCTGGTTTTGATTTGGTCAAGGGCACATACCTCGGTTGCAGGCTCATCCCCAACCCTGGTTGGGGCAAATGCAGAAGGTAACCAATCAATGTGTCTCTCTCACATCCATCTTTCTCTCTCTCCGTCTCTCCCCCTCCCTTCCACTCTCTAAAAATCAATGGAAAAATATCCTCGGGTAAGGGTTAACAAAAAAAAAAAACAAAAAAAACCCAAAAAGATACAGATGCACAGAGGAAGTACATTATGTAAACACAAAGACAGCCCTCTATAAGGCAAGGAGAGAAGTCTCAGAAGCCAGCCCTGTCAACACCTTGATCTCAGACTTCTAGCCTCTAGTACTGAGAATACTATAAATTTCTATTATTTAAGCCACCTGGTCTATGCTACTTTGTTATGGGTAGCCCTAGCAAAATACAGGCCCTAATTCAGTGATGGCGACCCTATGACACGCGAACTCATTTTTTTGGTTGATTTTTCTTTGTTAAATGGCATTTAAATATATAAAATAAATATCAAAAATATAAGTGTGGTTTTATTTTTTTGTTTTTTTATTTTTAAGCTGGCCTCTCTGACTTTTCACTAGGAATTCTCTAGCAACTATGCATCAACATAAGATTCCTGGGTTAAAACACTATGGCCACATGCCAGTAATGAAAGAGAAAGGAGTTAAGAGTGTACTGAGGTATAGAGTCCATAGCCTCAGTGAGCTAGTAAGATTTGATATGCCAAACACTTTGTAGATATAATCCCTAATCTTCACAATAATCCTGAGAATACATTTTACAGATGAGAAAATTGAGACTCAGAGGTTAAATAATAAACCATGATGCTAAAAAGTCAACCCTGACCTAGTTGGTCCCAAACTCCAGGTTCTTTTCATTTCCTGAAAAGGAAAAGAATG